TCAGGAGTATTCCTTTAACTGTCTTAAATATTTGGATCTTAGAATAGCAGGTTCCTTGTCAACCTCAGCTATTGTCACGTATCGTAATTAAGAATAATATATGCTGCTGTTCGATTCCCATAATAACCTCTAGTCACAATTTAGGTTCTGAATGCTGCTTGGGATGCTTGCATACCAGTTGCCAGTGTAAATTCTTTCCCATGTCACGAACGAGAAGGTTTTAATTATTTACTGGAGAAGGCCAAGCCCATAGGTGATCCTGACGGGAGGCATTTTTCTGCTTTTACATATCTGAGGCTCAGCCCACTCTTGATGGACAGACAAAACCTCATCGAGTTTGAACTGTTTGTCAAGAAAATGCGTGGTGAGAAAATTTCGACTATCATTTGGTAGACATTTTTTACATCATAAGCGGGCACTTACGGTTTTTTTATAGTTTTTTCGAGATCATAAAAAACAACCTCAATCTTAAAAATAATCGTAGCCTGCTGATTTGCAGGGGAAGCTGTTCTTGAGTATCAGACATAGTGAATCCGAGTTTCAGACAGAAAAAAAAACTGACATAGAGCTTTTCTAGTATACTCTAATTATTAGGCATAAGTCTATTGTGGAAACAAAGCAATCGGTGATTCAAGTAGGTGGTTCTCTCAGTGACAAGCTAAGGTGACGAACAAACGAGTTCGGACATGTCATTCTCGGCAGCTAAGGTTTGCTCGAAAATCGTCGTCCCTGTGGATATTTGGTTGTGTGTAAAATGTATGTGGATTAAGGATATGGTGAAAAATGTGCTACATGTGGTGGATATGAGAAATTGAGTTGTATTAGTAAATTGGATGGAATGATGTTTGGAGTTTGTACTAGGGTTGGCAAATGCTGGGTTCATCTAACTGCAATTTACTGTGATTCTGTTAATCAATATTAATGTTATTTTGTTTAAGCTGTGAAAATAGAATAGAAAATATTGTAATGATGAACTTTTACGAAATTAATTTTAACTGTATTGAAATAATGTCCTACAATTGATATATACAAATCAAATTCTGAACTTTCATGAAAATAATTTAAACATGTTTTGACTAATGTCCTACAGTTGACATATACAAATCAAACTCACTTTTCACGTTGAAGGATAAAAACTAGGGGTGTGATTGTTTATATTTTCTACAGTAAATATCCCACTCAAAACTCAAATTTAACTCAACTTTAACTCAACTCCACTATCTCCAATATTATCAATATAATTAAATAATATCAAAAAATCATTATTACACATCACATCAACTTTAATTCACTATTCACACATTCATATAATTTTAACTAACCATCACTTCCAATCATTTTCTCCTACTTTTATATCAAATCAACTTTAATTATTTTAATTTAAATATTATTTTAATATATCCACTAACAACTAACCATACTACTTTTTTTCAAACTTAACTATAGTTAAAAAAAAACTAGTTTTTTACTAGTTGAATTCATATCCAATCACCCCCTAGTTAAGTTTTATCAAAAATTCTCTGGAGCCATCTAGTGATTTTCTTTTAGAGTCATCCACCAGTTAATGTATTGACACCTGTTCAAAGTGTATTTATTGCAGGAGTGGTTTTCTTTTATAGTCATCCACCAGTTAATGTATTGACACCTGTTCAAAGTGTATTTATTGCAGGACACGTGTCAATACACTATTGGTGAATAAATGTGGATGGCTCTATAGCAAAAATTTTTGTATACCGTTCAAGATTTAATTAATTAAAAATACAAAAATATTAAAAAAAACAGTTTCATCTTACTTTTCTCTATCTGAAGAATACAATTATAAAATTTAAAATAATCATTCCTATATGCATTTTATTTTTAAATATTATTCATCCATTTCATATAATTCTATTATCAGTATTATTAATTAATAGTTTATTATAAAATCACAACAATATTAGTTATTTTTATTTTTCAGTTAATATTCATTTACAATACTAAATTAATCTCATTTTTTTAACAACATTTATTTTTCTATCAATTAAACATCATGTTCCAACATATTATTAGTTAGGGCAAAAATTCATAGCGTCTTGTTATAAGTTGGGCCGATCCAAATCCAAACACGGCCTGTCTACTGCCACGTGGATTCATACACGTATAAGTACCAACACGCAATCCCTGCAAAACCCTAGACCGACTCCATTTGCGCAGCCTCATCAACTCCGCAGCGCAGGTAATCTTCGCCGCCCGATTGAACAGTTAATTCGTCACTGCAGTATCACATGATTATCTATCTATCAATTCTCGGCTATTGATTGCTGGATGTTTGAATTCGTTCTGTTTTAGATATGATTTTGATGGACCTTTAGTTGGTTGAGCAGTATCTTTCGATTTATGGTTGAACTGTACTAATGGACGGGCCAGACGGCGAATTTGGTTTTGAGCTGTTCGGTTTGTTTTTGATCTGCATTTTAGAAACTGATGCAATAGCTGTTAAATCAATCGCTAGATTTTATCTCCCTTTGTGTGTGTGTGTGTGTGTGTTGAATTTGGTGGAGATCGCTTATTTTTGTTATGCAATGTTTGAAAGGAGTGAAATATCCGTTGAAAACATGGAGTTTTTTTTTCCTGGTCATTGAGGACAATGTGTCAAAGCTTTAGAAGTAAACTTCCGTAAGTAATGAATGTATCTGAGTTATTCTATGTCTTGTGAATACTTTTACTTGTGGGGTATTTTAGAGAGAAACACAGGAATCTTGAATTTGCCTTGTTTTTACAAAGGTTGAAATTCCAAACATTTGTAGATATTGCATTGGTGATACTTAGAAATGACCTTTCTTCTTCCTCCTGTATTAAAAGAGTTGTATGACGAATTGTTCTGTATTATCTTGGTCATGAATGCATTGTCTTAGTTATAGTGTAATTAAGTCATGGGGCTTCTTGCCTTATGCTTTTGTTGATGATTATTCATAACATTCCATGGCTTGTTGTTTGTGCAAATACTGGTCTATGATTTGCATGTCGCATTTGTAATTTTTTGTCATGCCGGTTAATCAGTTGACACACTAATGATTATGCACATTTGTTGATAAGTTTAATCAATGTGCTATTCAGGAAATGGCTCCAAAACAGCAAAATTCTGGTATCTTTGTGGGTTTGAACAAAGGTCATATAACGACAAGGAAAGAGCTTGCACCCCGCCCTTCTGACAGAAAAGGGGTAACAAAACCAGTTTGAGTAGCTTAAAAAAGTTTTTTCAGTGTTAGTTTTTGCTGTACAATAATAAGAGTCTTGTGTTTCGAGGCAATGCATTATATTTCAAGAGGAATAAACAGTTAATAGTTGTCAAAACTTTAATATCTTTTTTTTCTTGTTCATTTATGACTCATTTTTTATCCTCAGAAAACCAGTAAACGAGTACACTTTGCTAGAAGTCTCATCAGGGAGGTTGCTGGATTTGCTCCATATGAGAAGAGAATCACTGAGCTTCTCAAAGTTGGGAAAGACAAACGTGCGCTGAAGGTGGCAAAGAGAAAGTTGGGGACCCACAAGAGGGCTAAGAAGAAGCGTGAGGAGATGGCATCTGCTCTCAGAAAGATGAGGTAACCAGTCGTTACAGCCGTATTCTTTCTGCCCTTGAGAGGTTTAGTTTAATTAAATTCACCTACTTCAGACCAATTCATGAAATGTCCTTATTTTGTTAATTCCTGGTGGTGTGTAATTTTTTTTTTTCTTATTTGACTAGGGATTAAGGTTAAGTTTTGCAGAAAGCCCAACTATTTATTTTTGGAAGTCAAATGCAGTAGCATAATTGACTTTTCTTAGCTATATCTTAGTTATTATGTTACTTGGGACTCATATGTTTTATTTTTCCAAATGCAGGGCTGCTGGTGGTGGAGAGAAGAAGAAATAGACTTGCTTTTGATGGTTGAGCGACCATTTTTGCTATTGTAGAACAAACAAATTAGCTTTGCGAATTGCGATTTATGGCTTATTTGCTTTATGTCAAACTGAGGTTTTTCTTGTTGCGACTCGTTTAAATGTTTCTTCAGTGTTTTTATCCCTCAATGGTATGTGGGTTTGTGTTTGCCATTTTTTTTTTTCTGGAAACGATGGATTTTATAAAATAAAAACACATAATCTATATCTATATCTATATAAAAAGGTTTGATTATTTTTTAAATAGTAATTATTTTTTTTCAAAAAAAATATTAACTATTTTGCGAATGAATTTAACAATTTATGGTATATTTCAAATGATTAATTATGGAAATTTGTGGCTCATTATTTAAAGAAGTTTAAGCTATATTTTAAGATGTCTTAAGGGGTGATTGGATATGAATATAACTAGTTAATAATTAGTTTTTTTTAATTATAGTTAAGTTTGAAAAAAAGTAGTATAGTTAGTTGTTAATGGTTATATTAAAATAATATTTAAATTAAAATAATTAAAGTTGATTTGATGTAAAAGTAGGAGAAAATGATTGGAAGTGATGGTTAGTTAAAACTATGTGAGTGGGTGAATAGTGAATTAAAGTTGATATGATGTGTAATAATGATTGGTTGTTATTATTTAATTATATGATAATATTGAAGATAATGGAGTTGAGTTAAAGTTGATTTAAATTTGAGTTTTGAGTGGGATATTTACTGTACAGATTATATACAATCACGCCCTTAATTACTCAAATCATGTGAACTAATTAATATATGGTATATAGTGGACGAATTTATTTTTGGTATTGATGGTTGTTTCTATGAGAAATAAAATAATCAATATATGATATAAAATGAATAAATTTATTTAGGTTATCTGATAGCTGTTTTTTTTTAGAAATTTGTTAAAAAATTAATACATACACGGTGTACTTTTTGAACAAATTCATTTAGGTTATTTGATAACTGTTTTTTTGTAGGAAATTTATTGAAAAATTAATAAATACAAGGTGTACTTTTTGATGTAATGCGCAGGCTAATATATTGGATATTTGATGTGGGTTTCAATTTTTATTACAATTTTTCGTATGAAAATAACATAATAAAATTACAGTAACTCCGACAAAATAATATAAACTGATATTTTGATATAATGTGTGTATCGATATTTTTTTTTATAGAAAAAGCTCTGGTCAATTTTTTTTTTATTAGTTGGTATTGATTTAATTCATTTTTTGTTACGACATTTCAAATAATTTTTGTATGAAATGCATTGTTCATTTTTTTAGCATGATAAAGAATGTCGATTTTTTTTGCATAAAAAATCATATGACTGATTGTTTTTACTCAACTACTTAAATTTTTTGATTTGGACATTTTATACAAAAGTATATTATTTTAATTAATTAAACGATATAAATGTTATATTTATACTTACTGTTCCCATAGGTTTTTTAATTTATGTTAAAATTTTACCAAAATAATTATTTTATGGAATCACGTTATAGTCAAATCGAATTTATGAATAAAAAATTTGAAATGACACATATTTTGAAATGAATATAATGTAATCTATTATCAGTTATGTACAATGCACGCGATGTGTACTAATTTTAAATAGACATTTTTATGTAATATTGCATAATTTAAATTTTATATAACATTTATAGGTACATTGTATTACATATTGATTCCATGTTTTCTAATTTATAAATATTATTTAATGATAACTTTTAATTTACAAATATTAATTAATATCTCTTACCCGTGCATCGCGCGAGATTCGTACTAGTTATAATTAGACAACAACTAAAATAAGTCAATCAAACATCTAATCTGGTTGAATCTAAGGAGGATCTCCGACAACTAATAGGAGCCTAAAGATTAAGTTAACTCATCTATGAAACTAACAAACTAAAAACCCGAAGAGGAAAATATAACTCCTACAAGAGGAGACATGTTGCGTTTGGTAAACATATGAGTAAGATTATAGTTTGTTTGATTAGTTTATGGGTTTCTTGTATTTAAATAAGTTTGGTTTGGTAGGATGAAATTTTTTACAATGCTTGATTTTATCTCATAAGCTTCATTGGGTAAACTTTTCAAATAAGCTAATTGAAATTTTTATTTAGCTAGCTTATCGATTAATTTTACCAAACACTTCTATAATATAAGTAAAATTTTCAACCATAAGTCATAAATTATCAACTATAAGTTTGAAATTCACTTAAAAGCTATAAGTTAGTTTATCACTTAATAAATAGGATGGCTTGGCCATTACAATTTTTACACTGTTCTAAGTATTGCTTATGGTACAATTTTCGCATATTGAATAATTATAATTTATCGTATTTCTCCTTGCATATTTTGCTTCATATGATTCTTTTCTTTTCTTTTCCCTTTTTTTATTTTTTTTTGGTTCATATGTCTACAATATATTGCAATTTGCACATATGTATGATCATTTTTTTTTTTTTGTACAATGAACCTTCCGGTTTTCGAATCCCCGAGGGAACCGACTAATCCGGAATCGAGCCGGGTAGGACCACAAGGACGGCATTAGCCTCCATAGTTTGATACAAATGATCGTAACACCCTATGCTACTGTTCGGCAGACACATTTTCAACAGTAATGGGCATAATGTTGAATTCATCCCAAAATTAGAAAGTTGAATTCCGTCCAAAATTTAGCCTATATTATTGATTGGTTGGACCACGAAATAACGTCGAATTCAACCCAAAATTAATTAATTACAATTTGGTCAATAGCTAATATAGATGATTGTTGTTAGCAGACACAATTGTGCAGTCATATATATTCCAATATTTATGAAAAATATTATATTTCACAAAATATATAAACAAAAATATAATATATTTAGACCCGTGAATTGATTCAAGTACTACTCGCACCTCTCCATACTCTTTAAACAGTCACGTATTATACACACGTGTTTAAAATCACATCCAACGGCCCACATTCAGGGATCGAAAAAAGCAGATGACACGAGCTGTTTATTGTCCGATAATGAAAAATCGGTTTTGCAATCAATGCTCAGCTCGCTGGAGTTCATCACTGAGAAGGCGATTATCACCCAAGTCTCGCAGAATATGGATTTTGGATCAGGTCCAGCTTCGACCCATTTTCAAACCCTAGTTTTCTCATTCCTACTTCTATTTTTTCCTCTCCCCCCCCTTTTTCTTTTCATTTTTTCTTGTTTTGGGTGTAATAATCATGATTTTGTTCAATTATCTATTCGAATTTGCAGTGATGGAGTTTTTGGGGTGTGTGCCGTTGCTCCAGAGGCTGCCCAGCTCGTCTCTGAAGAAGATTGCTCAAGCTGTCTCAATCAAACGCTACGGTAATTTTTGCTGCAATTTTATGTTCTTTATGTTTTGTTGATTACTCTTAGATGGTTCTACCTTTGTTTTAGACTAGCTGTAATCAAACCAGTGTCGTTCTCGGTAATGAATTGAGCTACTAGCTTGGCTACATTTTGAGCGCTTGACTCCTGTTGAGCTTAGTGAATTGATTGGAAATTGGTGGTCTTTTCGAAGTGCCGAATGCGTGTGGGATTGTTTGATTTACGGAGCTAACGAACCATTATATTTTGTACCTCATAGTCATTTGTAGAAGATTGTGACTAGGAGGTGCAATTTTTATGCATTAATAATTTATATTCACCATCTCATTTTTTATGCGTACAATAATCAAGAGCAAGGAGATTATGTAGTTCGTGAAGGAGAAGTTGCGGATGGGAGTGACTAGGAGGTGCAATTTTTATGCATTAATAATTTATATTCACCATCTCATTTTTTATGCGTACAATAATCAAGAGCAAGGAGATTATGTAGTTCGTGAAGGAGAAGTTGCGGATGGGATTTACTTCATCTGGGAGGGCGAGGTAAGTTTTACCCCGTTAATTTGACAATTAATGAAATCTGTGCTTCTGATGATGGTTAGGTTGGTTACTGTAGCTTTGTGTCTTTGTAGGCTCAAGTCTGTGGGTCCTTTGATGCAAATGGTGAAAATAGCCCTGAGTTTCTGTTAAAACCATACGATTATTTTGGCCATGGTTAGATGCTTAGTCTTAATTAATTTATTTATCACGAACTTCCATTTCATCCATTTGGATATCATGTTGATATTCTTGTAGAGCCTGTGTAGTCTGTTTCTTGTTTTCTTCCTGTGTACTAAGAACCCATTTCTTTGACTAGAAAATGCAATCTGCTTGTCTATATACTGCTCTTGACCTGCTTTAGTTATTATTAGAAATAATATTACACATTGCCTTATGCATATTCTTAAGGTCTTTTGATAGTCCAGAAGAATTGATTGCATGCATCTTCTGGGTACTGCTCTAAGAACATACAGTAAAGCTTAGATTTGCTGCAGGTATAGCATACTCTACTCAACCGACAGATGTGGTTGCATTGTCTAAGGTGCTCGTGTTTTCTTGAGTACAATACTTTCATAGGCAACTATATATTACTGATTGTCAATCTGTGCACATGTAACATTGTAAGCTTCTGATGGATTTTCCTATGGTGGCAGCTTACTTGCTTGATCCTTCCTAAGGAGCACGAAGATCTTCTAAAACCCAAATCAATTTGGAGCGCCGATGAGAGTCAGGAGAAACGGCCACTTGTGGAACAAATTCTACACTTAGATCCTGTCGATGTATGTACCACAAAAATTAGTTATTATTATCATTTTAATACTTATTTTTTTAAACTTCTGTGAAATTTCGGCCTTGTTCTACGTTCATGTGCAAATTGTATTTGTTTTGTAATGCACATTTTAAATGTTTCTGCACTTTCCTTGATGTAGCTGAGATTTAGATTGAGTCTTTTTTCCCATGATAATAAAGAGATCAAGTGAGAAGGGTTGTTTGATAAAAGTTAGAACTGGAAGGTTGGTGTGTGCAAGGCTTCTTTGTTTTTATCATCTTCGTATTTTTGTATTAACTAATTAAAAATCAATTGTGCTGTTAATGTCTAGAAAATGAACAGTGGTTCCACTCGGGAGAGTTTATTTTGTTCATCTATATGAGCAATTAGTTTTCTTAAAATTAAAATTCATGTTCTAGACTTTCCTATTTTCCGTGAGATGCTTTTATAAGATGGAATCTCACTTAAAGCGATTTTGTTCTCTGTGCTTCTTTTCTTTTTGCCTAAACTTTTCAGATATTTAGCCTCATATTTATTCACGCGGGTATTTTTTTATAACTGTTTTATAAAATGGTGGTTGGTGTTTCAATTGTAGGTTAACATTTTTAAGGGTATTACATTGCCTGAAGCTCCAAAATTTGGGAAAGTGTTTGGAGGGCAATTTGTTGGGCAGGTATGTAATTGTGATTGCTTATAGGATAATTTTTTTTGTATATCACATAAAGGAATAAAATGAAATCGATAATAAATTCTTCACTTGATGACGTGCTTGTTTATGTATCTTGCTTGGTCCATTGGACCTGGAAACCCATTCGGTGTTATTCTCATTCGTCCATTCCCTCGTAAGCATTTCGATAACCAGGACTCTTTCATACTGATGTCCACAATTGCTAATGCGTGCAGGCACTTGCAGCAGCGTGTAAAACTGTTGACTGTCTGAAGATTGTTCACAGTTTACATGCATATTTCCTTCTTGTTGGTGATTTTGACAGTAAGTTTCTCTTATTAATGAGTTTTCTCAAACAATTTTTGTTATGTACTTTAAAAAATCAGAATTGATCGCCAATGTATCTTGCGTATCAGTTCTATATAATCCTTAATATTCAGCCAAAAAGTCCATGTCGTTGAAGTTATGATCTGGTTAAAACTTGATCGTGGTCATTGAAGTGAACCGTCATGTTCCCATGATTGATTGGATAAACTTTTCTTCAAGATAACCACGATAATTAGTATTATCATATTGTTAGTTTGACTCCAATGACTACATCTTTTAGCTTTTATCTCAAAACATAAATCATTAGATTGGCTTGCTGGTCACAGTAAATAATCGCTCCTATATATAACTAGTTTTTAACTTGTGCATTTGCACGGATAGCAATATAATAGAACAAAAAATAATAAAAAGATATAAACAATAGTAAAAATCATAATATAATCATTGAAAAAATGTTCTAAGAAAGAACAACTAAATATTGTTAAACAATTCTTTATATACAATGTTTGTGGTTTTTCTATCAATAGAATCTTCATCACTACAAATCACTATCTTCAAATTAAGACATATAATGGTTTTATTTTTTAAAATAATTATTGTATTTTGTACTATAGATCATATAGGAATTTTTTTAAAAAAAAAATACTAAAAAAATACCAGCAAAATATTACAAAATAAATAATTGTATTTGGTTGATAAATAATGATATGTGCCAAATATTTAAGACATTTGAACAAAATGGCAATTTTTGGGCCATAAAGATATATATTGATTGAATGACAAAAAAAGCTCAAATTAGAAGTCCACTTAATTTTTTAGGGTAACCAAAATCAAATATAAAACAGGTCAATGATAACATGACTATAAATAGAGATAAACTCCTTGAGAGTGATGTAAGCTATTTTTTTTTGTTTGATGTTGGCGCTTCTCTCGTTATTCTCTGTCTGAAATCCTAATCCTTAACCCGATCTTACGACAAACTCGGCGAGATTCAATACAAAACAAATGTTTTACCGGAGATTTTCTCGCGGTAAAGGCTTACAAAATAAAAAAAAAACATCCAAGAAATGTTGTTTTTGTGGCCAACAGTAGTGATCGAAAAATAAATATCCGTCCCAATTTCTTAATCTGTGTTGCTAAATCTTAACAAGTCGGTCAAAATCGGGTGATAATATTACAAATCTATGAAGAGTTGAAATATTTTTTGTTAAACGTAGTTTTTATTTTTTATTAATGATCTGTGTCGTTTTTCGAAATTCTTTGTGAATAAGCTTCAAAGATATATCATATTTTATACATAATTCAAAATTATTTAGATGTTTTTCGAAATCGTTTTTCGAAGAGAACATGACATTGGTCGAACTTTTTCAAACTTTTATGTATTTTGTTCGGGGTTTGAAAAAATAGGTAAGTTTCTAACAAATCTGTTCAGCTCTACTAACAAATATATAGGTAAGTTTATAACATATCTGTTTATAACATACATATGTAACTTTTATGTATTTTGTTCAGATTTTGAAAACTAAATAGTTCAATTCTTTCTCATCTGATATGTGAAGCTTTGCTAACACTTGTTCAAAATCGCTTTTCGAAGTTGTTCAAAGTCTTTTGCCGAAGTTTTTCAAAGTTTTTAGTATTTTGTTCAAAATTTAGAAATATTAGGTAAGTTTATAACAAATCTGTTTAAATATATTTATCGCATATTAGGAATTTCTTATTTAATGTTTAAAAGAATCTATAGGAATGTTTATTTTTAAAACTTTTAAGCAAAAAATCAATTTTAATATAAAGGCAGATGTCTTGGTAAAAGTTGAATGTGTTGATAATGATGGAGAAATCAAATTATTTTTCTTTCTATATTGTATAGTGTCCAATAATGTTCCACATAATTTGCCGTGTTTTTAATTTTGATTTTTTCATATAGATTTGACTTTTTTTTGTTGATTATTAATTATGCTTGATATTTCTATATTATGCAACAATCTGCCATTACATACAATGCCTTGTCAATCCTCATTCTTTGACTTTGCTAATTTCTGTTTAATATGACTTTTCTGTTGCTGAAAGTATGGTTTTTAATGCATTAAAATATTGATGTTTTGGATATGTTTTGATGCTATAATCATGCAGAAATTTGTCCCGCCACTTTTTTCTTAAAAGAGGAATTGTTTAATGAAAATTAATCATATTTATATTTATAATTGTGAAATAATATTTTTTTTTCACGGCCAACAGTTTTTTTTTAATGAAAAATATGAGACAATTTATTCAACACTTTTTAATTTATAAAACAGAATGTTGATTGCGATAACCAAATCTGCAGAAATCATGCATTTTATTGAATAGTAGTAATATAAAATATTTTATTATTACTACCAAATGGAAAGTCAAAGATAGTTAATTTTGCACTATTAATTATTATCATATGAATTTTTTTTATACATATGTTTTTTCAATGAACTTTTTAAATGATAATATTGACAATATAGACTTTGCTATAATAATTATATAGACTGTGCTATAATAATAATTTATTTATTTAATTCATTAATTTTTTTTTTAATTCATCTTATTACGCGTATAGTCTAAGTTTATAAATTATATGTCATTTAAATGTATCTATACTACTAATTTATAAGGTTTTACCATTTGGGGGAGCTAAAATTTTAATTTTAATTATGAAACTAATTATCATTTTGCAGCTATATGTTTGTGAAGTATGACTGGAAATTAAATTACAAAAAAAAAATAATTTCATATTTTATATTGTAAAGTAACATGATCTGTATTATAATATTTGTATTTAATACATTTATTAATATTTTTTATAACTTTAATTGCTTATTCAATTCATAATGGAATAAAAAAATAATAATATATAGTTTCTGCACAATAATAATGACTGCCATGTTTATGTATATAAATGAGAATAAGAAACATAAATGTGGGATCAACTAAAAGAAACCTTTTTAATTTAGCCATTAATTAATTAAAAAAATGTAACTCCTTTTGGAGGAAATGTGAAAATATTTTTATTAAATGTTTTATTAAATGGGATTAGCTAGTAATTATATATATAGATTTCAGAATGCGCTGAGCCTTAGTTGCAGACTCTCACGCTTTGGAATTCTATGTGTCAAATTTTCATGCTTTGACATTTGGTTTGGATGAATTTAATTTATTTCCAATCCAAAAATAACTAGGCTTGGAATACCCATATATATACTTGATATTTATGAACACTTTTAAAAGCATTAATTATGTTTTAATATTATTTCCTAATCTAGACGTTGTTTATAATACATAATTTTTTTCTCCAATCTTTCTTTTCTCTTCACCTTTCTTTTATAATTATAAAAGATTTACTAACATAAATTGTAAATATATTTAAAAGCTAATAGCTTTTTTATTTATTATTAAATTTTTATAGATAATATATCAAATTAATCATGTCTTGATGAGATTCGATTTATGATATGTATTTTACATAAAAATAAATAAATAAATAAATTTATCTTTATAATAAAAATTAAATTATATATTAATATTAATTGTAAAAAAATATTTAAATTATGTTAAAAATTAAAAAAATATTATAATATAAGATGTTAAGTCGTATACGTGACGGATATCATTTTAAATACATATAAAAATAAAGTTTTCTTAAAAAATATTTGAATATTTCTTTTTAAAATATAAATTTTTTTAACAAGCACCCGTGTAATACACGGGTATTGTACTAGTAAATTATTAATGGAGAATGTATATTAATACTGATTATAATCAGTATTACCAAATGGTCCAAATCGCTTGTTTGGGGAGCACTTTTGTAAAAGTCCATATCCATTTCTTAAATGGTTATCTCCAAAAGTGCCCATCATTTGCTTCTACAGAGTGGACTTTTGAAGTACCAACCTATCCATAAGTTCATTCTTAATAACACCAAACATGAATTAATTATTCAAATGGACTTTTGCATCCCAAAGTTCCTCTGAGAAGTGTTTCCAAACAAGCTAATAATCAAATTAATTGTGCTTCCTCTATATTTGATCCTCCAGGTGTCCGAAGCACGATCTCTATATGATCAGTTAGTTGCTGCCTCTAACTACATGAAATATAAGAGTGAGCAAATTAGTCTCGTGAATTGATAATTTAGTTAAAGGGATTAACAGCTTCTGTTAATTGCTTGTGCTAATCTATTTTCTGTTTACCTTGAAGAGAACACTTACCCACTGAAATGATGATTTACTGTTTCTTGGTGTTGATATGTTCTCTTTCATGCAAAAATAGACTACTTTAGGGTACTTGGCATATTGAATTAGATCAGTTTTAGGTTGTGCTGTGTATTCGCACTGCTACATTTAGAAACTTTTGCATTCATTAGAAGGCACGGACGATTGAAGACTAAAATGGACTACTATCACGGATTTGAAAGGACTTCCTTTGTTTCTCTGCTATCATTTTCCTTGCATGGTTTGTTTGAAGATGCATCTAACATAAACACCATATCTTACTTTGACTTCACGGATTATAATTATTTCAGTTCCAATTATCTATCAAGTGCATCGTGTTCGTGATGGAAAAAGCTTTGCCACCCGAAGGGTAGAGGCTGTACAGAAAGGAAATATCGTGTTTACTTTGACGGCATCTTTTCAAGTAATTCTGTCAAGTTTAAATTGATTCAATTTTGGTCAAAGATCTGTTATCTTAAGGTGCTGCATAGATTTAGTGTTTTAACCAAAACTAGTCGTGGGTTAAAGGCTATCGTTTTATCACTTAGTTTAGAGTACTGAGAAATAAGGTAACGAATGCATACTGAAATAAATTACTCATGAATTTCATAAGAGCATCCACAATGCTTTAGGTTCAAGCAAAAAAATTTATATGCCACATAAGAAATAGGCCGAATCTAAAAAAATATATTCTCGTAAAAGTGGACAGCGTCCTGCTGTGGCAGCAAGAAACGGAGACCTGGTCTACCCTTAAGTCTATTTTAGACACAAGTAAAGACCTAGTCTCTTTGCATTGGAGTGAATTTTGTTAATTTTATATAGTTTTATCCATGTCATCCAAGACTTGGGTTTATTCACATGCCACATATGCAAAACTAGACCCAATGCATTGCAGATGCTCTAAAACCAAACTTGGGTTCTCAATAAAGTGTAACTTATGTAACCTTTTAGTTGGCTTTAACATACAAGAAACAAGCTATAAAGTTCTAAAAAGGCTGTAGTTCTCCATAGTTTTTTGGTTCATTAAAACTAAGGAACTCCCTTTAGGGCCAATCTGAATTCTTTGGGAAATATCACCTCCAATTTTATTTCCTTTTTATCAACTAGTAAATGTTCACTAATGGGACTGAATCAAGCAAGAATTTATAGGTTCAAATATATAGGTTTGTAGTTATTCCTGCAAAGTTCATTCTGAAAATTAAGTTTATTACGATGTGCATTTATTAGAGAATTCTCACTTCAACTTAGAGTTCAAATGCCATAGGTAGTGCATCCTTTTTGAAATTTCTGCAGGCTAAGACTAAACTATGGCTCAATTGCACATTAACTCTTTGCAGAAAGAAGAAGCGGGATTCATACACCAGGTGCCAACAATGCCTTCCGTGCCTGCTCCAGAAGAGGTTCTGAACATGCTGTACAACAGTAAATGTACAATTCTATTGTTTCTTCATTTGACTTAAGATTATTATCCATGTTTAGCTTTTATCATTGGAAGAGTTGAGAGAAAGGCGTCTTACTGATCCTCGCCTTCCCAGGTTCGTCTATTACTACCTTCATCTTCATTTAAAGTTTTAGTACTTCCATGTGGTTTTAATGGACGTGACATTTATCATATGCTTAGTAGTTTAATCCTGTTATATGTTCTTCAAACTGAATTGATATTCTTTATGTAGGATACTTCGTTTCTGCTAACAACTTTTCAAACTTCAGTGACTCAATATTTGTAGTTTACTCTTATTCAGATTGATCTCTGCTTATTAACTGGGGTTGAGTGTCGGTAGGATATGTGGAATACTTGCAAATTAAATTTGTTTTGATTGTAGTCTTTTACTTTCCACAGGACATATCGAAACAAGGTTGCTAGTTCAAAATTTGTCCCTTGGCCCATAGAGATCAGGTTCTGTGCACCTAATACATCCACCAACCGGACAAAGTCTCCTCCAAGGTTTCACGCCTTCTCCTTATTGTCCACTCTATTTATCTGCCATCTAATGATTGTTAGACTTGACAAGTTTCTCATTTTTTCTTTCTATGCATCTTCACATGCTCGACAGTTTAAGATACTGGTTTAGAGCGAAGGGAACTCTTTCAGATGATCAGGCTTTGCATAGGTAAGCACTAAAGCTAGATCTATTTATCTGCAATTTCGAACTATACCGGTCATTGAGATATTCCCCGACGACACATATTTTAAGTACACCAGTATTGGTTTTGTATCTGCAGAAATGAGTCATGACACACACTATTTCATATTCCTGGGGTCCCCATATCAGTCTTACAAATTAGTTGCATTTGGGCCCATTGACTTGTATGTAGAAATAGAGCATACTTTGTTTCTTTTATGAACTTAGGAATGCTAACAATAGTTTGTCTTCTTAAAAATGAGAGCACATATGCCTTCTTGGCCTTCCGTTTTTTTTTTTCTAGTGGAGCAACGTGTATGAAAAGTATCAAATTAGTATTGTTTCTACAACTGGTATATTCTATATTGGTACTTGTCTAAGTTTTGCAACAATTTTAACTTTTACCAACATAAAGTCTTGATTTTTTGTGCAGATGCGTTGTGGCATATGCTTCTGATCTAATGTTTCTCCAAATCAGTCTGAATCCTCACCGTGAAAGGGGTTTGAAGTCGTCTTCTGTCAGCCTAGATCACTCGTGAGTATCCTTATTCTTAACATTACAATAGCCTCTCTCCCCCTCTCTCTGTACCAAGTAAGTTTTCCATTTGCACTAATCAACTCAAATAATTGTTTGCATTAATGAACATAATCTGAATGATAGGCTGCTGCTTTTAAAAAGTGAACTTATTCTTGTCTTGTGCTAATATTAATGTCAGCCTTATTAGTGAGTCACTTTTTAAAGGTCATTTGGGATTGGAATTTTGTTTATGTGTGGCGATAATGTTCATATCTGATAAACTCAGACCATTTTCTTTTAGTCCCCTAAAACCTAAAACTTGAGATTAATATGTTAGACCTAGTTGCATAAAAAATACCTACTACCTATGAAAAAAACAGATACACTGCTTTAGGTTTGTATTTTCTTGACAACGAATCTCCCTATTGAGTGTTGAGGATGCAATTCGTAAGATGAAAACAAATATGTTCTGTTATTAGACTAGACCTCAAGAGTACTTTTGTGTAATTAATCCTCTATACCCACATGTAGGACTCATTGAATACAAGTGGAACGTGATGTGCTTGGCTTCTCCGTATTCTTAAATTCCAATTTTGTATTAAGAAAAATGCACTTGTATAACATAGCAATGTTCTCTACTTTCAGGATGTGGTTTCACAGGCCGTTTAGGGCTGACGAGTGGCTTCTATTTGTGGTGAGAAGCTATAACTCATTTTACAATTCTCAATGAAATCTTCTTTTTCTTTTTCTTTTTTCGCTTAATAAATCCTTCTCTCACAGATTGATAGTCCAAATGCTCATAGCGCGCGAGGTTTTGTTTGTGGACAAATGTTTACTGTGAAAGGAGAGGTAACAAATGGTACTACATTTTTTAGTATAATAATAGTAACCTATATTCTAAAAAACTTGCTACTGTCAGCTTGTTGTTTCATTGACTCAAGAGGGCTTATTGAGGAGAGCCAGAGAACCGGCTTTGGGCGGCCAGTCGAAATTGTAAACGTTCGTGTGCAGCCAGGAGAAACGTCGCCATTTTAGTATAGGAGTGTGATTGGAATTTAGTATGGTTAGTTGTTATAATCATTAAACCCAAACAAATAAATTGTGGCTGGGATATATAGAAATCATATTAAGTCCCAATGTAATGTTCACATCAAACTTTGTGGTTGCTGTTGATATTAAGCTTCTATACAGAAGATTAAGTTGGTTGCCTATGTTGCTCTTGTACTAATTTCCTATTTATTTACAGTTCGATGAGGTGGGCATTGGATTTTCAATATAACAGTATATAGGAATTCATTATCACAAACAGTGTAAATAAAACGGAAAACAAAAAAAAAAAACCCCAAATCGTGACCTAGCCTCTCAATCGCCGTTGCGTCCGCCGGCCGACCGGCAGCCTCTACAGCGGCACTGCTCTACACCGAGGTGGCGGCGAGCTCAAAGTCCGGTCGTCTCACTCTTCGCGGCATGGCGTCTCTCCGTTTCCTGGTGGCCATGGCGGTTCTCGAGGGTGCTCCGACGTCTGTTCGGCAAGTTGCGGCCACTGGCGTTTTCCTCCGCCATGGTGGGGGAATGGACTGAGACCGACGCCGTCTAGTTCCCTGGATCTTGCCGCCTCCTGGTGCTGGGGTGTTGGGGTCCGACGGGGGGTGGTCGGCCGCCGTCGATGGTGGTCGACTGCCGTCCGGTTTAGTGTTGGGGGGCTAGATCGGTGTTGGGCTCTCGGTGTAGTCCGTGTTAGTTCCGTTGAATGGAGTTTGGGCTCATTTTGGTTCGGATCTAGCTAGGCCTTTGAGTGCAGTTTCTAGATTTGGGTCGGGTTGGTTTTCTTTCTTTGGGATCCGTGTTGTTTGGTAGTTCTCGATTGGCTGTGGGCGGTTGCGGAGGGCTTTGTTCTTAGTTTTTTTTTCCTTTTTGTGTTGTTGGGGCGTGTTGTTCAGTGTGGGTAGTTTGTTTTTGTTTGTTTTGTGTTTTAGTTGTTGTGGTGTTTTTTCTCCTATTGAGAGCGTGTATTCTCATGTTGGGAGCATGTTATTCTCCTGTTGGGAGTGTGTATTCTCCTGTTGGGAGCTGTATAGTTTGTTGTATTGTAGGTGCGTTAGTGTAGTTGCTTCTAGGCTACATTCATGTAGGTGTAGTTGCTTCTAGGCTACATTCATGTAGGTGTTATTCTCCTGTTGGGAGTTGTATAGTTTGTTGTATTGTAGGTGCGTTAGTATAGTTGCGTTAGTGTAGTTGCTTCTAGGCTACATTCATATAGGTCTCCTAAATTCAGCTGTGTGGCTGCTTGGCTATTCTAGCTGTCTGCTAGTTGTAATTACGTGTTTTTAGTTATATAAAATTTCTATCGTTTTAAAAAAAAAAAAAGTAGTGTAAATAAAATTAAGAGTATTCATTTGAAATCTGAATGAAATTTTATAACTTTAAAATTTGAGATTTTTTTAAAAAATTAAAATGTACTGAAAACAAATCTTAAATCTGTAAGTTAGCTAGCATTATAAGTGAAATTTTAAGACTTCTAAATTTTAGATATTCTTTTTTTACTGAAAAAATTATTATGAACTTCGAATTGGTACTCCTCAACCATAATTACAAGCCAGAACCAACACAAATTCAAATCTCTACTGTTATGTTAGTAGCTATTTCATCTACTTCATCTAGCTCAAAGATGAACATCTAAAGTGTTGCAATCATGCATACCATCGATTCCTCCCTTTTTTTCAGGGAAAAAAAAAGAAAAAAAAAATTCAAACCGGGGGGACTCAGTCAACCAGTTGATTTCCTTTTAAAGGCAGCGTGGATGATTAAGTCGGACGACTCTAATTTATCTATCCTGGCCATATACTCTTTCATCCTATTCAACAGGGCAGGCAGAAAAACAGTATTACTCGAGATCTTTTGCTGTAAGAGTTGAATTTTGTCATCTTCTTCCTTATCCTCGGTAGCCGGTAAGTCCGTGTTCTCCCTCATAAGACCTGCAAAAGAAAATGTTTAGAGAAGCTGCAAAATTCTAATAGACAATCACGGAAAGGATAAAAAAGGCACTAATATATATGCAATAGCAATGAAACATGGATCAACAGGTTCCTAATCATTTTCTTTTCCAAAACAAACGGAAGATATGAATCCTGGCAATCCACACAAAAACACATTTTCAAACACAAGAAAAACAAGTGGGTCAACCAGCTTCTTCAGCACAGACAAGCAGATATGTCAGCTAAATAGAGTCCCAAAGTTGATAGCAAAAGTCATGCACAACGAATTAGACCGTGACAAGTCATATTAAATTGGATACATATATTTGTGTACATATATCTTTAATAATCTTTCAATATCCCTTTATAGTGGTACAAATATTCCCTTCAAAATTTGCTACCTGAAAAATACCCCTTATCGACATGGCACATGATCGGTCAAGGGTACAATTTATTTTTTAAAAGAAGACTTCACCTTTTGTAATCAAGCTGAACCACATGGGTCGTCTTTGTAATTTGACCCGAGAAATGATGCATACTAACAAAAGTTTATGGAGAGTTTGAACTACAAATCTCAAATTAAAGTAACCCATTCTTTATCTGCATAAAAGACGTGCTAATATTGAGTCCCTGCACGAAGTATCCTTGACTAGAACCAAGCCACAGCTTATATTGTAAAATATCTTACAGACAGTTGAATTACAAGAGAACTTAAAGCATCATTTGAAAAACCCACAAAACCACATTTACTGTTCATCACCCTGTCTGAGACAATGAGGTCCATTCAGAGGATTTCACAGTGCTTGATTCCTCAACACACACCACCAATGGGTAACCATAGTTCATAGCTATCAAACACACCCACCAATGGGAAATCATATATATACGGCCGATATGAATTCACAAATATGATTGATATGTGTTCAGTGTACAAGATGACCTTCAATATCAACTTCACATTTCAGCATGCAAGTTTAACATGCAAATTCCAGACAAGAAAACTTCGACGGATATGTAAGTAAGCATCATCATAAAAAGAAAACAGAAACAAACACCCAAAAAAAAAATATGATACCAAAAACCTTTCAAACGTGTGATTTAGCTCACACTTGCAGCAGAAAAGAAAAACCCCATTAATTCATTAGTTCTAAATTTCCTGACTCTAGAAAGAAGGAAATAAGAAACCGACACCGCACAAAATAGCAAAACACCGAACCTCGGCTGATGCCGGCTTCTGAATCCGGCCGGGGCAGCACAGGGGTTGCTGGCTCGGTCCGTTCATCAGCTAAACGGGTCGTAAAAACGGGTTTCCCTGAGGCGAGCACAGAGCGAAGAGTTGAGCTGAATTGATCGGGAAGTATGGCTCGATATTCGAATATCTTCTGAGCCATTTGCTGAACTTCTACTTCCAGCTTCAGCACCTCATCTTCTTCAGCAGCTTCTAGGAGGTCCGAAGCGTCTTCGTTCCGGGATCGGGCTGCCATTTTAGCTTTTGGCGTAGATTTTGCTTGTTGAGAGAGAATCGAATTTGGGGATTAGGGTTTGGAGAGTTTCGAAATTCTGAAAATGAAAGGGGCTGATTTGTGATTTTTCTCATTTTATTTTGTGGCGGGTTGGGGGATAGAAGAAGAAAATTGACTAGTTGCAAAGGGTGTTTGCTGGTGGACTCAGCATATTGCATTTATGGCCTTTTTCTTGGCAATGATTTTATTTATTTTGTAGAAAATCAGTTTGGTGGAAGCTACCACATTGATCTGGTTAGTCAACATATATAAGAAATCAATTTCATCTTATTTGCTTTTTCTTCTCTGCAATTCTACTAATACAATTAAAAAATAACATAAATATCATTATATATATTTTTTAAAATAATACTATTTATCTGCCTACATATTTTTTACTATCAATCACTATGAAATAATAGTTTATTATTTATACATTACGTATACTTTCATTACATTTGATTTTATATTTATTCACTATTTCAAATTAATTTTTTTTTTTCACTTTTTCGTCTCATTTTTTTGAGCGACACAAAATTTTTCCAAAAATTCTTATATTCAATCTCAAATCTAACCCCATTTACATTTAGGACTCGTTTGCTTTTTTGAGCGATACAATTTTTTTTTTTTTAATTCTTATATTCATTAGCAAATCTAATCCCATTTGGGATTTGTTTGATTGACATGAGATCCTATTAAATCAATACAAAATTTAAACTTGTATTTACTATACGTGAATACGTGATTGATGGCTTGCATAATTTTACACTTGACTTGACTCATACACCTATTTTCTATCCATAATAAATTGAAGGGTATAAACATGATATTACTTTTTTGTCCTCACGTTTTGTTGGGAGCCTTCATTTTTTAAACCTACCGCCTTTTAATCATCCCAATTTGATGGGATTATTTATCCCAAAATATCAGGACTAAATCACACATAATCTCATGGATGGGCCTTAATCAATTTAAGCAACTGAGGGATAAGGAACGATTACCTAGGATATCCCTCGTAATCAAGGAAAGCAAACTAGGCCTTACCGGTCTTGAAAAGGTCCACAAATCTTTGGAGTTCTATTGCACAGTTTATAAGCAAGTGATTTTTCATTTGACAAGGCCATTATCAAACCTTGATCAACAACATGGTAGACCCTCTCATATATACAAATACATAATCTTGTTGAGTGACTAACATATTTTCACTTTACATCTACAATATTTATATTTATACATGGATAATAAACCCAAAAATATATCTTCTCCAACAAACCCAATAGACCCTCTTTCTCAACCAGGCTGTCTATCTTCAAAAGAACTTGGCCAGCCATTTGAACAGTTCTTACTGCAATGAGTTTTCCTTTTTGAGTTCACGCAAGCTTGGATCGACTTCTCGTTTTTCAAAACATCCTCAATGTTGGTCCTAACCGTAAGACAAAGCTCGTCAAGAGCAAGTACCGGGAATGGTTCTTCTATAAGCACACCTACCTGCAAACAAAGACTCGGACTTAATACATGAAAATTGACTTCATGTGAAGTAATTAGAGCACCAAAATATCTCGTTAGGAATTAGGATTACATTTTCTCCCTATATAAGCAATCTCTTCTTTTTTCCCAAAATTTCGCCTTTTCCCCTTATTTGTGCATACCTCAACCTTACACGGGTCACGGGTGTCGGTAATTATCACTAAGAAAAATAAAAAGTTGGGAAAACTGTTCTGACATTGCAATGCATATTAAAATGGTGATTTACGGTAAAATAGCATTATTAGACTTCAAGAAAATTACCTCCTCAATGCAGAACAAAGAAGCAGCACTGATAAAAGTAGCAGGAACAACAATCCAGTGACATTCATCCCAAAGTATGATGGGAAGAGTAAAATGCCACAGGACCAGGAATCTTGAGGTCAAACGCGTATATGAGAGAGGAATAGGTGTGCCTAATAGCTGTTCACAAACCCCGATTCCCTCATGAAAACAACCGAGTTTCGATTCCTGCAATTGTTAAAAACTCCGCAACATCAATACATCTCCAAGATTGTACATTTAGAGGGTTAATTGCAAAAGATACCCTGCAGTTTTAAAATAATTGACCCATCGCCCCACCACTGAACAAGAAAAGCACAAGTTTGTTTCGAAATTGCAATTGACCCCTGAAAATCGTTTTCAATTTTACAAGTAACACCTGTTTCACGGACCATCAAGATGAGGATGTTTGTAATACCCAAAGGACATATTGGTAGTTCAGATCGGAGTTCTTTTATATTAAACAGAACTATAGGAGTCATTGCAGTAATTTGAAAATTATATGGATTTTATTTGTGATTTTGGCTAAACTCAGGGGTGATTTTTGTAATAAGCCCTAAATTAAACTGCGACTAGTAAACTATAATAATAGAGAGGGATTAACCAGCATATTGAGCTTTGCAGGCTCCAGATCAAGCATGTGAAGGCTTTGAGAGATGAACTCAATTATGCAACGTGGACGATGTTTTGAGCTGAGAACTACCGCTAAATCCTCAACATCGAGAAGATTCTTGAGATCTCGTGCGATATCTGAGCCATAAATGATGTGGCACTGCATTAAAACATGCATTCAAATAATTATTTAAGGGCAAACATTTAAAATGATTCTACACCTGGTGATAAAGAAACACACTTAAAGTTTAGACAACCCATTGACTAGCTTCATGTTATGACATCGTAAATGTGACACACCAAGTTAGCCAATAAAAGAAAACTAAATAATCAGTTAATAACAATTCACAGCATTCAATGACTAACGTGACGTAATTTCAGTCTTTTTAATCTGATCGAAATCGCTAGGGAAAAGACAAAATGTCCTGTTTTGATTTGATCAAATTGGTTTTGATTGTCGTACTACAATTGATTCTCATCCAACTAATTACTTTTCGAGCTTAAGAGAGCAAACCTCTTCCGCAATTTAAATAATTAACTATCATAAATGGTATGATGGACATCGTCATTAGTTACAAACCCATCCACATATCACCCAACTAAACATGTAATAGAAAAATGCACCAAAGAAAAAAGAACCGATTCACAAATACCTTGAGAGCGACAGGGAAAGCCATGATATACTTCAAGATTGCATTTCTAAGAGATGCATTGTTCGGGTTCGGGCTCCCCACGCTAGCAAGCACTTGCCTGGCAAAGTCATTAGCCCCCACAATCACCTTAGTCCAAGCTTTTTTACCTTCCTCGAACCTCGAATATGAGGCCTCCGTCCTAAAAACCAGCAGAAGCGCCAAGGCAGGGGCCGTCAGCTGATAGGGCAAAGAGGAAGCCCTCAGGACAGGGAAAAACTCGGGCAGCAAATCCAACGAAACAGCTGAGTTATAAGCAGCGATTACAGCCGATACCGAGGTAAAGAAGATGACGGGAGGGACCAGAGACAGAATCACGCGCGAGCTCAAGCTCGACATGAAATGCCTGACGTGCCTTGAGGAGCTTCTGTGCTGGACCCAGTTCTCGTGGCCGTACAAGGATCGTTTTCGTTTCATGCCCCTTTCCTTAGCGCTGTCGGCCCAATCTGGGATGGTTTGGAAAATCCATGGGAGGGTCCAATCTTGATTCGGATTAGGGTTTTGGGGGTTTTGGGAAGCTTTGCATGAACAGAAGAATTTGTGGGAAATTTTGGGTGAGGGACGGAATTTGAGGACGGTCCTTACAGAGTTGAAATCGGCGGGGCAGTATGAAGAAGAAGATGGAAAAAGATTTGCAGGGTGTCGAATTGGGGCCGTCATTTTTGGGGATTCAAGATGATTTTAGGGTTTTAGTGTGTGGTAAAATGGACATGAGTGTGTTTTATGAGTGAGGAAAGTGGAATTTTTGTTGGGTCAGAGGCTGAAGTTTGGATAGGTAGAGGTAGTTGGGCAGTTAGCATGTGATTGAAGTTTTACTTCATATAAATTTGAAGAGGAGGTGTAGTTTTCATAATTTCTTCTATTTAGCATGCCAAATTTTTCGATCAATTTATCGAAAAATTCTCTCTACGAGAAAAATCCCCCAATTCTAAAACCCTAGGTCTTCGACAAATTGATCGACACTCGCCTCTTCACCGGCGGAGGTCTTCTTCCCCGGCAAGTTCGGAGATCGGGACGACATCGGGGCTGCAGATGAGCGACAAGGCGGGCATGAGTGGCTTCCTCCAACTGTCGACTGGTTCGTCGGCCATGGCGGGGAGGAGTTGCGGCGCACGCCTGGTCGGGATTCTTTCAGAGGTGAGTGACGGCGGCTTCTATTGGCAGTCAGCTCTCAAATCGGCGGCCCTGGACTTCTCCCGGTTTCAGTCCGTCCTCAGGTGTTGAGACGGCTGGAACCTCCGGCGAGTGCGGCAGCCGATTCTCTTGGAGTGGCTGTGGTCACGGGATATGCGGGGGGGAGGCTGGGGTGTCGGCTTTCTGGTGTTGCTCCGGTGGTGGTCTTTAGGGAAGCTGTCGAATCGATTGGTCCAGATCTAGTTAGCCGTTTGGGAGTTTCTAGATCTTGTGTGGGCCGTCGGCTAGATTTTCTCGGTTGATCATCTTACTCTCGGTGCTTGTTTGGGGCGAATGGAAGAGGCTCGACAGTTGGTGAAGAGGGCTTAGTATATTATTTAGGTTTTGTCTGTATTATGTTGATTGTGTTCGTAGATTGTTTTTTTTTTGTGTTTTGGTCTCCCTTGGGGAGTGCCTTTGTCTCCCATCTGGGGAGTGGCTTGGTTTCCTTTTGGGAAAGTGTTGTGTTTAGTGTGTTTAATTTAGTTTTATCTGGCTCGAGATGGATTCCCATGTAGGAGCCATCTTTTCCTTTGCGTTAAATGCAAAGGTGCTTCATATTGCCAGTGGGCGATTAAATCGGTTGTAATCTTTTGGAGGTTTTTATGTTATCTATCGTTTGAAAAAAAAAAAAAAATAAAAAAAAATGCCAAATTTGATATGCAACATGTAAAAGATGTTGCTAAATAAGAATTACTTTTGTGCCCTGAAAATTCATCTGGTGTGATTGAATAGTTTTTTAAATACTTATTTCAATTACCAATAAAAAATAATACGATCAATCTATCTTAGTTTCATTAAAAATGTTGCTAAATGAGATGTGCATTTTGATATTTGATAAGAAATTAGGGGTGGATTTTAAGATTATAAATTACTTTAATTTGTGCCCTAAAAAATTTTCTGCTGTTATTGAATGTATTTTCTAATTAATTATTCCAATGACCAATAAAAAATAATATGATTCATCAATCTTATTTTTAAAAAAATATATTAAAACTTCAATAGTTAATACTCATTAATCTCTAAAATTATTAGTCATCCACCTACATATTTATGATTATCAATTAATTATTAAATTAAGTATAATTACAAATTATTATTTTACTAAGTTCCTATGAAGGTAATGTATGTCAAATTCCAGTACATTGGTCGCAAACTAAGAGTTTTTCCTTTACAATTTAAAAATTGCCCGAAAACTTCTTATATTTTCATGTAACAAGTAACGTAGACAACCGTAAATATAATCACATTACGTCAGCAACTAATCCCGACTGTTGGTATTTTTTTTTTTCGAAACGATAGAATTCATTCATTAAACACGTAATTACAACCGACTCACTAGCCGGAATAGGAAGACTACTCAAGGTAGCCTAAATACCACAACTCACACTACAAAACGAACAAGAAAAATAAAAGCTCCCCACAAGAGAATACACAAAGTTCCCCACAGGAGAATAACACAACTCCCCAGAGGAGAATACACGCTCCTCCAAAAAAGGAGATAACAAAACACAATTAACAAAACAACACATCAACAAACACCACATAAACACAACACACAAAAATCAAGCAATACAAAACACCAAATAAAACAAAATACTAGATTAGAGCCTTTCCCACGACTTGATAATGCACCAAGCAGACCTTAACGGTAACACCAACAGACGACCACCAAATTGGACCGGACCAAGATCTTGATTGCAATTCCAGAAACTGCAGCATAGGCCTAACCAGATCTGAAACCGAACCCCAATCCCGCGCCCGACAATCGTCCTAACCCCTCAACCAGAGGACAGCGGCAGAACCCAAGACACACCACCGCTGCTCCAAGCCCAATCCACACTATGGCTCGGGCTCGGCACGCCGGCCATCCTCTCCTCCCAAGCACCATAGGAGAAGAAGACCTAAGGGAAACCGACCACCTCTATGTCGACACCAACACCAGGCTGCCGACACCACCACCTAACCCCGTAAAAGCACAGCAGCCCGCCTCGCCTCGACCATGGAATCCGGCGACCAACTCACCGAAAAGGCAGCCATGGATTTGCGAGATCCCGTCGGTCCCGGCTAACCGAGCTCCATCAACCGAGAAACCGGGCCTCAACATAAATAGGGGTCGAATCGAGTGGCCTTGGGACGTCCACCGTCAAGGTGCCCGGCGAATCCGCCGGGGAAGGCAGATCTGCAGGAGTTCTCGACGAGAGAGAAAAAAGGGGTTTTTTCTGTAGAGAGAAAAATTGGGCTTTATTTTTTGTGTATTAATGGAACATGATCCCGACTGTTGGTATTAGCATAACGAGAAAAGTCTCGACTTAACAAACTCTTTTTTACGAGAGCCAAATTAGCATTCTAATATTAGACTTTTGTCTATTTAGAGGACCGAAATTGAAATTTTGCCTACACGCACGTTCCCTCACGACATAAAATTTTTGGTAAGTTCCCCGTGATGCACTTTCTCACACAGAGTAGAGCCAACCCAACTCAAATTGAAAATCATTGTCTTCCTAACTATAACTACAAGGCCTCCAAAAGTAGTAAACTAGCAAAAATGCTTTCATTAGCATAACACCAAATTGTATCAAGCACAAAAGCAAGAAGCTTGTACTGATCACATTAACTGCTGAGAGAAGAGCATTAAACTGCAGGATTTCTTAACAAAGGGAAAGTTTCAATCTGATGGGTTATAGAAACTATTTGGTCTAGATAGATACAAGTGACTGTGAGATAAGTATCAACAATTAAACTTGTTGATGCGGGTGAGTTTATCGCATTAGACTATGGATGTTTCCCCACATCACTCGAAGGCAGCTTGTTCGTTCCATCTGGTGGAGTTTCTTTCTTTGGCCCGAAAATGAACTCTTTTGCAGATCGTTCGGCTGATAATATGGCGTTTCTTATCTGAAATTGTGGAGGTAAACATAAAAATTATTAGAATAATCTGATGAATCAAGAATGAAAAATGCCAATACTGCATAATAAATTTGAGACGCAAATGAGAAGTCATTTTTGTAAGAAGTATGCATCTTAAGCTGCTCAATGTAATGCGAGGCAATACAGCCGAATTTCAATGGATATCGGTATATACACTTCACTAATTATGCAAAAGACAGCAAAATTATGGTTGAACTGTAATTCAGTATACATATAGGTAGAAACTATAACTGCTGGAAGAATAGACAAAATCGCAAAGTTGAGATCATATGACACATTAATTATTTTCCATAATATAGACAGCAAATTAAAAATATACAGCAAACTACATGACTCTTCAACAGTTGTTTATATTCCATAAGAGTTTTCTTAAGTCATAAAACTAAACATAATTACATAACTAAATGCCATTAATCAAGACGTGAGGATACTGTCCTGAGAACAAATTGGAATTATCAATCTTGACAGCACAAATATTGTTAGGTGTTTCCAAATTCAAGAGGGACTTTAACCTTTGCAGAAAAGGCTAATCTATCTGTAGATGAAGATAAAAGAAGTTATTTACCATAACAACGCTAGAAGTAGCAAACAATCAGAAGATTGTCATTTTCCGCAGTTCAATACTAAAACTTGTATTGATTCTAACATAAGGTCTGCAAACGGTTGTAAGGGTGCCAAATTATTTGTTAAAATCAAATCAGAAGGGGAATCAAAATCCTAAAGTCTCTCTCTCTCTCTCTCTCTCTCTCTCTCTCCCTCTTTTAGATTCCAACTAAGTTTCTGATGAATCTTAAGCACGCATTAACAGAAACACTAAAAATTACTTCTCCATTTCAAACAGAAGCATACAAACTGATTGTCTTCCACATGAGCATATCTTAGGCAAGTGTAACATTAAGTGCCTCGCTCACTGTCTTCAGATTGTGATTAAGCCACGATGAATCATAAAGGTGACAAAGCATTTCTATAATCTACTTATCCCTTTCACCCATAAGCTGAGAAATCACTTATTTTAGCAGCAACTGCAAACACTCACATTGGCCAACATATTCAGCTCAATATGCACAGATCTTAGCAACAATATATAAACACAAGGTAACCTCAAATTTATAATTAGTAATAAACAATAGTTCTTTGCCATTCAACTCAATCGACATCAAACAGTATCCAAGCCATTTGACCCTTCAACACAACACCCCAAAGCCAAATACACACACTAAATCACACTTAAACATCAACTGCAAGAAATTACAAGAGCGTGTAATACAAAATAGAAAAGAAAAACAAAAAAACAAAAAAAAAGAATTGAAGCTGAGGAAGCGATTCTGAACCTGAGAGCAGGCATCAACTCAAGCTGCACCAAATTAAACAAAAACACACCAATAATTATATAAGAGAAAATAACGTCTACTGGTACACTTACGGGGTCAAGAAAGCTGGGTTCGGGGCCATAATCAGCGGTGAGGAGAAAATACGAAGCTGTGACGGTGGCCACCATTGTCGTCCTCCTCACAAGCTTGTCGGTTCTTGGGTCCATTTTCGGATTTCAAACAGCTTTTTCAGGAAGGAATTAGCTGATGGTCAGGGAGAACTGAGGACGGCGTTCAAGGGAGGAAACAGAAGAACATCCCACTCATCCAGGTCCTTCTAATTCAAATATAATAAACTTTTTTTTGTTTTTTATAATATAATAAGTTTTCAGCCTTTATCTTGAGGTTTATAGTTTTATTTTAGGCTAACTTTGTTATAAATTTAATACAAATGTAAAATTCTAATGCTTTGGATATAAAATATTTTGATTTTATTTGAATTTTTTGATTTGGTGTGGTTAATTTTGAAAATAATAGTATTAGTGGAATTGTGATTTATATTAGAATAATATTTAAAATAAAATAGTTAAAGTTGATTTAATATAAAAATATCATAAAAATGATTTGAAGCGATGGTTAGTTAAAATTATGTGAATAGATTAATAGTGAATTAAAATTGGTGTAATGTGTAAGAATGATTAAGTGAGATTATTTAATTATATTGAAAATCTATACTAATATAAAAAAGTGGTTGATAAATTATTTTTAATAACTTTGACCAAAAAATAAATGAGTTAGACTTTTACTATTTATAATTAATACTAAAAAACTCATGTGATATAATGCTTTTGGATTTTCAGCCAATTGCATTGATATTATTTACCTTTTTTGTGGTAACTATATTGTTAAAATTTGGTAAAAAAAAAAAAACGTGCGGTATAAAAAATTGAAATTCAAATGCATCATATCAAACGTTTGAATCCCCTTTTCATCCCCTTTAACAAAATTCAAAATGACTATGTTCTTTGCCTCATCAAAGATATCAAAAGAATAAATAGGACTCTAATCAAGCTATGCATCATTAGAATGTTCAAACGCAATGAAGATGAACACACTTACAAAAATGTTCTTGAGTTTATCTTTCGCGATTCCGAAGTATTTTGTTATTATATTCTTATTTAAATTCGTCCATATATATATATATATATATATATTTACTTCATTCTTTTTCATTATTATTGAATTGAATATGTACTAAAAAACAATGTTGAACATAACCACCATCGCGACGAAGGGTACCTCATCGATGTGCGGAGGCTCTAGATCGCCGAACGGATTGACTTCGGAAATCGTATTCTCGCCGTCGTCGTCGCCGTACATCGGTGGTGGAGATCTCCGGCGGGACGCCCCGCTGTGACCACGAGCTCCGCGAATTCCCCCACGCACGCCCCGGTCGCCGACGTCACGGTTCGTGTTCACTCCCTCCATCATGGTACGCATCATGAGACGTAACTCTTCCATCCCCGAAGAGAGATCCGCAAATAGATTGTCCATCTGATCAAACCGATTGTCTATCCGTTGTAATCAGTCATCTGTGGTGGCGTCCTGCCGTTCGTTTGCAACATCTCTTCTTTTCGACGACATCGTGATCATTGTTGGTCTCTGAATATTAACTGATGAGGCGCGTGGTAGACGAATGGGAAGAACAAGATACTCTCTCGTGAAAAACATAAATCTCAGATATAATTGAATAATTTTCCAATCTGCCTGAATCGTTTGTTTACAACAGATAACATAGGCAAGAGCCCTTTCTTGCTAAACAACTGCTAGATATTTATTTTTCCTACCCATTCAGATTTAATAGCTAAGGAAATAACATAACTAATGAAAGGAAGAATAAAAAAAGAAAAAATAAATTGAATTCGGAGCCGATCATATTTATTCAAATATGCGATGGTGGTCTCGTCTCTATCACGTAGGAAATAGACCAAGTCTAGAAAAATATACTCTCCAATGCAAGTGCAAATAGACTGAGTCTTGCTAATGTGACAATAAGAAAAAAAGATCCAGTCTACACTTAAGTCTATTTTAAACCAAAGTAGAGACCTAATCATTTTGCATTGGAGTCCATTTTGTTACTTTTATAGATTTTATTATTATCCATGTCATCAAAAATTTAAGTCTATTTACATGTCACGTAAGCAAAATTAGACCCAAAGTATTGCAAATGCTTTAAGAGAACCAAATGAGATTGTAGTCATCCCCTTAATAATCATTAGTTAATATTGTTTATCTTCATCTTTAATTTATAATAATTACGTATGTATGTAATTGTAATTATTTAATCGTTCGCACGAGACTACAAAAAACATACGGTAGTGAACTTGGCACGGCCCGAAAATCGAGTTGCCAATACTGAAAATCTGTTCATAGTTTAGGCACTGAAATACTCTGTTTCTTGCACTGCGCCCAACTCTATCCGATGATGCTGCTGCTGCCTTCCTGGAATCCTGCGCGCATCGTTACCAACAAATGGGTTCGGAGGAATCACGAGACTCTCTTCACTTCCTTCCAACATCCCAACAACCTCTTTCATCGACGGACGGTCATTCGGACTCCACTGTACACACCACAGCCCCACGATAGTCAGTCTCCTCGCTACATTCCCATCCTCCCCTTCCTCCACCCGACCCCAGAAATCCTCCCCAAAATCCGAATCCAAGCGATTGTAAACCCATTGAGGAAAATACACTTGGCTCGTGTCCAATTTCGGGTCCATATTCTTCCTTCCCCCGACCATCTCCAACACCATCATCCCGAAGCTGTACACGTCCGACTTATACGAAGCCCTTCCGAAAGTCCTCGACAGCACCTCGGGAGCAATGTAGCCCATAGTCCCCCGAGCAACCGTCATCGTCACTCCACTCTGTTCCTTGGAGCAGAGCTTCGCAAGCCCGAAATCGCATATCTTGGGCCCGAAGTTCCGGTCCAGCAATATGTTGTGCGGCTTTATGTCGAAATGCAAGATTTGGTGGTCGCAGCCAAAATGCAGGTACTCGATGCCCCTGGCTATGCCGAGGGCAATGTCCCGTAGCTTAGGCCAGCCGAGGGATGGTCTCGAAGAGGAGCGGAAGATGAACTTCTCGAGGGAGTCGTTTGGGAGGAATTCGTAGACGAGGGCCCGTTTGGAGCCCTCGGCACAAAAACCGATTAGACGGACGATGTTGACATGATGGATTCTGCCAATGGTGCTGACCTCGTTCACAAACTCTTCGCCGTTGCCCTTTGAGTTGTGGAGAAGTTTGACGGCCGCGTGTATTTGGTCGGAGATTTTGGCCTTGTAAACGGTTCCGTAGCCTCCTTCGCCAAGTTTCTCGCTGAATTTGCGAGTGATTCTTGTGATGTCGGAGTAGGAGAATCTGGTGGGTTTGAGGGCTCGGTAATCTTCTAGAAACTTCTCGATCCTCATGTGGTTCTCTCTTTCTGATGCAACTGAGATGTAAAGAAGGATAAGAACTGCGAGTATTGTCACAACAAGGAAAGTACCTCCTAAAGCACCTACAGAAAGCAAAAGGCTTGTCAAAAGTATGTGAAAGGCTAAAATCACAACTTTACATAAACAAAATTGTTTTTTGAAGTAAATGAGAAAAATAATAAATCCCCTAACAACATGAAAAAGTTAAAGCAGGATGGGAGCAATGTTCACCTCCAAGCAGTGGGCCATATGATGCTCCTGAGAAGAACAGCAGACAACAACAAATATATTAGCTTTTTCATAAATTTGTTTCCTCTTACCTACACATATGGTAAGCAGTTTGTCTATTTATTGTGGATGCATTTCACCTTCAATTTTCTGATTTTCTAGAGTGGGAAAGTGATTTNTTGATTTTCCGAATATCATTTCCGGATGTAGAAATTTGTTTCCCTAGCATATACGTCTATATCCAGAATAGAAGGAAAATGGACAAATGAAAAGGCACAAGTGAAGAAAACATGCTTATTGGCAAAAAGATGGGAACAGTAAAACATAATAACTTGCTTACCCTTCTTTTTGGGTCTGTCAACACACTGAATTTGATGTCTGATAGTAGAATTACTTGATAATTTGCATCTCTGTCCTTGAGCTTCACAGACACCACATGCAGGTTCAGACCACTTCAGAGGGAAGGAATTTTCACCAATCGTGTCAGAAGAAACAGTTGGATATTCATTTATTGGGGTACAAGAAGCCAATCGACAAATACGCATTGCAAAACTATGAAGGACAAAAATATGATATCTGTGAAAGATATATTTTGGCATAAGTTCGAAAAGTTAAAGAAGTTCCTGCCATGTTTAGTAAGGGAAGTCTTTGTTACCAAAATTAGTTCCTATTATATTTGCTCTTATGATTTGTTTACGTGTTGTAGGATATTGATGCTATAGGAAAGGAGCTTCACGCGCATGGCACATCACGAAAGAAAAGGAAAACTTTGGATAAGTAAGGCAAGAGAATATGTGGAGAGAGAAGAAGAGTCCTTTACATGGTAGGACTTTGGGGACATGCCATATAGAGACCAAGGATTGTGGGAGACCTATGAGATGATATAAAAACCGATCTTGAAGGTTGAAGGCGGCTGCTGAAACTAGGGCAATCATTTATCTCCTTCAAGCTTCAAGTTTCACGTTGGCTACTTGTTTCATTTTGTTCTTGTTTCGGTTCAGTTCTTAATTGATTCGATCTTTGAGAAACTGATACCATTTTGATTGTATTGTTTTCAATTATTCTGAGTTGAACTTTTTGATCATTTACACTTAGGGAGTAAGTGTGAAAAATAAGTCCACGGGACGTGGCCGGAGAAGTAATTGATAGGCTAGATCATAGTTGTGGTTAGAATAGAAGGGAGTTCTATTTTGTAAATCCAAACTATGTACTTAATAGTTATCAATGAAAGAGCTCTGAGGGGAAGTGGGATACTTCCCTGAAGAGTGTTTTAAATCTTTGGTTGTCGCTTCCGCAAATTACAATCTTTACAATTGTTCGTACTTCAATTCAGAACACTCGGGATCTTTCTATACGTTTCAATTGGCACCAGAGCAGTGTTCCTGTCTACATACGGGATAAAGATCTTTGGGACTGGGATAGGTCACCATGAGTCACGACGGACTATCCGTTTCGCGCCCTCCATTTCTTGATGGTTCGAACTATGGATACTGGAAATCCATGATGGTCATCTTTTTGCGCTCTCTGGGAAAAGGGACCTGGCAAGTGGTGGAATCGGGATGGTCATTACCGGTTATGCCGAAAGTTCCATCTGAGTCTAAAGAAGGTGAGTCCTCGGATGCAAAATCTTCAACTTCGACTACCCGTGTTCTAGTCGAAAAACCTAGAAGCATTTGGACTGATGATGAAAGGCAAGCTGAAGAAGCAAATTTTCGAGCGTTATATGCAATCATGTCGGCTGTTGATCCCACTCGTCACAAGATGATCATTCAGTGCACAACTGCACAAGATGCATGGAGGATTCTGGAAAGGCAATTTGAAGGTACAAATGCTGTGAAAACTTCGAAGCTTCAAAGGATCTCGACTGAACTCGATGAGATCCGCATGAGAGATGATGAGACTATTGATATGTACTATGCACGCTTCTGTGATCTTGTAAATCAAAGCGCAATGCTTGGAGAACATGTGTCGGAGGCAAGACAGGTGCAAAAGCTGATGAGAACCTTGCCGGACAGATTTGGGATAAAGATAACAGCATTGGAAAGTTTTCAGAGGATACAAACCCTAGGCATCGATGATCTTCTCAGTGATCTTCGCACCTTTGAGATAAATAATGGGTTCGATTCGATGAAGATAGGCAAAGGGAAAGGATTGGCGCTTAAGGCAAAAGTTCGTACCACGATTGTGGAAGAAGACGATTCGGATGAAGAATCTTTTGATGCTGATGAAATTATGAAGGCTCTTACCGTACTTACCAAGAACGTGTCGAAACTGAAGAAATTTCAGAAGAAAAGGTTCCAAGGAATCAAGTCTGGTGAAGGTGGTAAGAACCTTTTACAGCAATCCGGAGAACGGCGCTCAGGCTTGCAGCTGTCAAAATTCCAGAATGCCAATCAAGGTGTTGAAAAGGACCAGTGTAGGGAGTGTAAAGGGTTCGGGCATTTTCAGAAAGATTGCCCAAATTTCAAAAGAAAGAACAAAACGTACAAGGCCACATGGTCCGACTGCAGTGATGAGGAAGAGGAAGGAGCAGAACAGACTGAGAATTCTATCTACTCTAACAATTTTGCAAATTGTCCTCTTAATGAATATAAATGTTTTACCTCCTCTGTACATTTCACTGATGTTGAATCCGATGCAGGTTCTCAAGCGAATGAACTATGTGATTCTGAACCAGAAGAATTCTCTGACCCTGCTGAAGAGAATCTTGTGCTCCACACTTACGCCATCGAGAAGTGTCTCAAAGCGGCGAAAATCATCAAGAAATATCAAGCTCAGACAGAGAAGATGAAGCGATTAGAACAACGATCGGCAGAACGTGAGGAAGAAGTTACTTATCTCAAGAACGAACTTCAAAATATGAGAATTCTGACCGTTGATTTGAACGAGAAACTCATTCAGTCTGACGTCCAGGCAGGAAAACAAGTCAAGGATCTCAATAGTTGTCACGCTAAAATTGCTCTACTTGAACATAGTGACAAACTGAGCAAACAAGTAAGTGGTGAGAAAAACTTTAACATTGAATCCTTGCGTAATGAACTTTTTGCTTTGCAGAAACTCGTGGGAGAAAGAGAAGCCGAGATCTGTGCGTTGAAAGAAGAACTTGGGAGAGTGACTGAGGAGAGTTCGTCACTACGGAGTTATTGTTCGACCATTGAAGAGAAACTCAGCAAAAGTGACGAAGTCATTAAAATGATTAATAAACCCAAATCGTCATTTGCTGAAGTTCAAAGGATGAGTCACCAACTGTCTACTATGGATCTGGGTAAGAACTCTCGTAATCTGAAATTGAAGGGTAAGATAGGCGAACCAAGTGCATATCTGAAGAAGTCTGATTTAACCTTTGTAAAAGAAGGTTATTGCATAGATGACAAGAATGGTAAGCCCAATTCGACTAAAAAACTGAGTGGAAATTCGGGTAAGAATTTTGTGCCTGTATGTCATTATTGCGGTATTCGTGGTCACATTCGACCTAAATGCTATAGAATGCATAATGATATTTATAGTGGGCAAGTTGTTGATTGGAGTCCGCTTGGTGTACCGCTAAAAGCACCAAAAATAAAAGTTGATTTGATAAACCATGAACAGAAAAAGATATGGGTTCCCAAAGGCAGTAAGAACATGTGTTTGTCCTCTATTATTGCCTTGAAATCCACATCTAATTCTGACTGGTATTTTGATAGTGGGTGCTCTCGTCACATGACTGGTTGTAAATCAAATCTGGTGAATATCATGTCTGTTCCCTCTAGTACTATGACGTTTGGAGATGGTGCTCAGAATAGAGTTCTTGGAATTGGTTGTTTGAATGTGCCTGGCTTGCCTAAGCTTCAAAATGTTCTTCTTGTAGAAAATTTGAAAGCTAATCTGATAAGTATTAGTCAATTGTGTGATCAAGGCTTGTGTGTGAATTTTACTAAATCTGAATGCCTTGTTTCTGATCAAGAGAACAATCTAGTTCTTACTGGCACTAGATCTAGAGACAATTGTTACCTAGTAGAACTCGAGTTGAAATGTAATAAGTCCAGTGTTGATACGATTGAACTCTGGCATCAGAAACTTGGTCATATTAATTATCCTCACTTACATGAATTGTCTTCTACAGGTGCAGTTCGTGGCTTACCAAAGCTGAAGAAAGAACAATCACGAGTTTGCGGACCGTGTCAAATGGGCAAGCAAAAGAGGGCCTCACACAAGAGACTGACTGAGATCAGCACGAACAGCGTTATGGAACTGATGCACATGGATCTGATGGGGCCAATACAGGTAGAGAGTTACAGTGGTAAGAAGTATATTATGGTTTGTGTAGATGACTTTTCCAGATTTACATGGGTTGATTTTTTAAAGGATAAATCTGATGCTCTTGAGGCATTTAGAAAACTTGTGCTAAAACTGGAAAATGAAAAAAGAACTTGTCTTGCTGCTGTTAGAAGTGACCATGGGAAAGAATTTGAAAATCGTGGATTTGAGTCTTTTTGTGATTCCAGAGGGATATTTCATCAATTTTCGTCTCCTATTACTCCTCAGCAGAATGGGGTGGTTGAACGAAAGAATAGGACCCTTCAGGAGATGGCCAGGGTCATGTTGGTATCTCAAGGGATGTCCTTAAAATGGTGGGCTGAAGCAATTAATACGGCATGTTATATAACTAACCGTGTATATTGCAGGAGAGGTACTGGAACTACCTTCTATGAACTCTGGAAAGGTAAGGCTCCTAGTGTGAAGTATTTTCATGTTTTTGGGTGTCGTTGTTACATCTACAACGACAGGGAACATTTGGGTAAGTTTGAATCTAAAAGTGACATTGGTCAATTTCTTGGGTACTCCTCAAATAGTCGTGCTTATCGTGTGTATAATTTACGAACTGAGGTTGTATTAGAATCGATTAACGTTGTTTTTGATGATTTTTTGGATGCGGCTGTTATTCCTAATATGTCGAAAGTTGACGTCAGTAGTGGAAAGAAAGGTGAAGTGAATGAACCTGATAATGTTTTGAATGAAATTAAAACTGAAAACGAGGATGATGTTCTTACTCACTCTCTCAATGAATACAGTGTTCCAACATCCTCAGGAAGTCCTACTGAGTTTAGGCGTGACCCACCTGCCAAAATTCAGAAGGACCATCCTAAGGATCAAATCATAGGTGAGATAGCTGAACGTAACACTCGTGGAGTTAAACCTGATTTTAAGAAAATGGTTGGTCTGTGTCATTTTGCGTGTTATGTGTCGCGGTTAGAACCAAAAAATGCTAAAGAAGCTTTGCGTGATGATTTCTGGATTCTAGCTATGCAAGAGGAATTAGAACAGTTTGTTAGGAATGATGTTTGGGAATTGGTTCCTAGACCCTCAGATTCAAATGTGATTGGGTCAAAATGGATTTTCAAAAATAAAACTGATGAATCTGGGGAGATTACTAGGAACAAAGCCCGCTTAGTGGCACAGGGGTACACCCAAGAGGAGGGTGTTGATTTTGATGAGACATTTGCCCCTGTTGCACGTCTTGAGTCTGTTAGGATGTTCTTGTCTATTGCGTGCTTGTTAGATTTTA